TGAGCGTTCCTTCTTTCAGCGGCCGGACTGTATCGGCTCCGCCCTCTCTCCCCCCCCCTCCTCCTCCTTTCTCAACTCCCCTCCACATCAGTGTTTCACCTCCGCCGCCACCACTTCCGCTGTGCAGAGCATGCTCTTGCTGGGCGCGCGGCGCTCGCGTGCGCTGCACACCACGCGGGCCTCCGTCGGAGACGCAGCCTGGGAGCCGGAAGCTGGACACGGCTGGTCTCTTTCCCAGGTCGGGCCTCTGGGGTCTCGCTTGCGGCGTGCGACGTCGCAGCAGAAACAAACGACGGTCTCGGGGACCGGGCGGGGAGGCCCAGGAGGCGGTGATTCGAACGAGTCGAGTCGCTGTGCCCAGAGAGCGTCTCTTGATTTCTTGACGATCAATGGGCGTTTCGGGAGGGGGGGAAGGGAGGCGAGGGTCAGGAGGGAAAAAAACACACAGACACAATTAATCCTCGATTCCCAGGAAAATATGGGAAAACATGGGAATTGGGAGGGAAGACAAAAACCAAGAAAATATGGGAAAATATGGGGACTATTTTTATTTGTGTGTATTTATTTGTGTGTCCTAATTTCCCTTTAGAGGGGCCAGAAACGTCAACGTTTCGCACCCGCGCCGCGTGGGAATGTCTTAGGAATGACAAGCCAGCTCGGAGGTCAGCACGGATCGCGACGTTACCTCCAGGGGGGGGGGGGGGGGACGGGGGCGGCTGGGGCCGGTGACGGCCGCTGTCGCATCCTCCTCCTCCTCCTCCTCCTCCTCCTCCTCCTCCTCCTCCCCTCCTCCTCCCCTTTGTCCTCCTCCTCCTCCGCCTTCTCCCCTCTCCTCTTCCTCCTCCTCCTCCTCCTCCTCCTTCTCCTCCCCTTTCTCCTCCTCCTCCGCCTTCTCCTCTCTCCTCTTCCTCCTCCTCCTCCTCCCTCCCTCCCTCCCTCCCTCCCTGCCTCCCTCCCTCCCTCGCTCCCTCCGCAGCTCGCATAGTCATCCCTGTCATCTCAGGAGGGTGGTGACGACGAGTCGGAGGGCTTCAGCATCCTTGAGGGGCTGAGCGCGTTGGAAGACGAGGAGGCTCAGGAGGAGCGGGACGCCGTGGACGACGACCTCGGCGTAGAGCTGACGGGGTGGCCAGAGGGCGGCAGCGTGGTCGTCGACTACACGTAAGATTGACCTTTCGCCGGAGTGACCTTTGGTGCGGGCACAATGGGGTCCCCCGATCACCGATTGCGATGCGACAGTAGCGTCTTGCGCGCCTGAGTTTGGCCCCCCCGCGGCCCCCCAAAAGCCGCGCACCAAAGGTCACTCTCGCCCAGGGTCACTCTTGCGTGTGGCCGAGGTCGACAGGGTGCGCTCGGAGGCTGAGAAAATACGGCTGGAGCACTCCGAGGCCCTGCAGCAGGGCAGGCGGAAGGGGCACGAGACTGTGCTGCTCCACGCTTCCATGCAGTTTCTGTTTCCTTCCTACCTGCGGAATCCAGACGGCCGCTTCAATGGTACTTACGTCGATCTGACCTTCGGCAGGGGCGGCCATAGCAGGGAAATCCTGAGGCGGCTCAGCCCGCATGGCCGATTGGTCGCCTTCGACGTGGACCACACCGCCCAGGTGCATGGCCTCGCGCTGGCGGCGCAGGACCCGCGGTTCACGTTCGTGATGCGGCCCTTCGCGGAGGTCGCGGAGGTGATGCGCGGCACGGTGGTGCACGGCGTCATGCTCGACATCGGCGTGTCCAACCCGCAGCTGGACGACTACTCGCGGGGGTTCTCCATGAACCACCTGGGGCGGAGGACGCTGCCGTTCGACCTGCGCATGAACCCCAGGGGCGGCGTGTCGGCCTCGGAGTGGCTCGCGGGCGTCACGGTCGAGGATGAAGGGGCCCACAAACACACAAATAAATTCACACAAATGAAAGGATTCCCCATATTTCCCCATATTTTCTGGGTTTTTTTCTTCCCCCCCACTTCCCATATTTTCCCATATTTTCCTGGGGGTCGACGATTAATTGTGTCTGTGTGTTTTTTCCCCTCCTGAGAGGAGCTCGCCTGGGTGTTCCGCGAATACGCTGGGACCAGGGTCAACGACAACCCCGACGACGGCAATCTGGTTGCGGAGCGCATGGCGCAGGCCATCATCGATGAGCAGGAGGCCAACGGGCCATACAAGACCATCAATCGCTTCGCGGAGGTCGTGGGCAAGCTGATCCTGGTCGCCAGGGGCGACCTCAAGGACACCGAGGGCTTCGAGCACACGGCCAGAGGCAAAGAGCACCCGGCGAAGATGTGGGTCGCGGCCATCCGCACGTTCCTCAACGACGAGGCCATGCAGCTGGAGGCCGTGCTGCCCGCGGCCATGGAGAGCCTCGCCGTCGGCGGCCGCTGCCTCATCGCGGTGTTCAAGCCCGGCGAGGCGGAGGCGGTGAGGCAGTTCGCCCTGGCGCACGCGGAGCCGCCTCCGTCGGAGGCGGCACGGCTGACCGGGCGGAGGCTGCGGGAGCTGTACCCGCTGGCCGGCACGTCCGCAGACTTCTCCTGCCAGCTCGTCGTCAGGGGCCTGAGGCCCTCGGGGCAAGAGGTCCGCCGTGCGAAGCGGCCGGGTCCCGAGAACGGCGGGTCTTTGGGAGGCCTCCCCTTCCGCTGCTGGAGCCCTCGGGGGCCCTCCAAGGGCACGCTGGCCACTGGGGAGCGCTGGTCCTCGGGGAGCTTCCGCCTCCCATCGGGTCGAGGGCCCGTGTCCCTCAGGGCCGGCTTGCTCTGTGCCCCGAGGTCACCGTCAACAACCGAGCGCGGTCCGGGGCCCTGTGGGTCCTCGAGAAGGCGGCCAGGACCCTGCCGCGCGTGAAGGCGAGGCCGCGGCCAGCGAAGAGCCGCTTCAAGATGCCGCCGAGGCCGCTGCTGGGAGACGGGCTGCCGGACCGCCCCGACCTGCAGCTGTTCTGAGGAGGCGGGGCGTCGGACGGCGTGAGGGCTGCGGGGTGCTCGGCTCGTCGGGTCGTCCTCCGCCGCCCTCCTTGGCCCTCTGGGCCACGGGCGGGGAGGGGGGACCGAGGGGGAAGTCCGAGGCGGGGATTTACGCGTGACCACTGCCTGGGGGATCGATCTCCGCGGACCTCGGCAGGCGGTGGATATGGATGTGGATGCATTGGGGTCCCCAGCGGCCCAAGCATGTGCAGATTCACCGCCCCCTACGATCCCAGAGGATCGGCTCCCTGGGCGGTGGATTTGAATACATCCCCGCCTCGCAGGAGGGGTGTCAGCATCGTCCGACCGATCCCCATCCCCACTGGGCCCATGGTATCTCAGCTACACGAGCCCACCCCCTCCCTCCTGGTGGAGAGAGGGCACGCGAGTACCCAAAGGCCACACCAACAACACATATCCCGTCTCATGGGGGGTTAAGTCGGCCAGGCGGGCCAAGGCCACGCCGCAGGGGATGGGGGATGGGGATCGGTCAAACAATGCTGAGGGTGGTAGGATAAGGAGGCCGTGAGGGAGGGAGCAGGGGGCAGGGAGGGAGGGAGGGAGGAGACGCAGGAGGAGGGAAGGAGGAGGGAGGGAGGATGGAGAGGGAGGGAGGAGGGGGAGGAGGGAGGGGGCAGAGAAAGAGGAGGAAAAGGAGGAAAAGGAGGAGGAGGAGGAGGAGGAGGAGGAGGAGGAGGAGGGAGGGGGAGGGTCCCTGGCAATTCTTCGACAGCGGCTGGGTGCCGGCTATGATGATTCGAAGGCTCGTCCGTGGGGGGCGTGCGGGAAGAGAAGGACGAGGACGAGGAAGAGGACAAGGAGGAGGAGGACGAGGAGGAGGAGGAGGAGAAGGAGGAGGGGACGCTGAAGAAATGTTGACGAAGGGTGAGGGGGGGAGATGTGGGAACGGCAGGAGTGCTGGCGGGGATCCCGAATGTCAGCTCGTCGTGGCTTTTCAGTTCAGTCGTGCTCGACGTCGTTCGCTTTGATTATGTGCTTGCGGGTGTGTTTTGCAGCCTCAGACTATTCATGTTTGTCTGCGGGCTATTTCTACGTGTGAGGGAAAAGCTTCCAGGACCTCGGCATTGGTGCATTGGTTCGTCTCGGCCGCAGTGGAACTACAATTGCGATGCTTGTTGCTGGCTCTGGCTCGAGCGTTCGGTAGCATGGCGGTGGCACCAGGCCATGCCTTCGGGCAGTCTGCGACGGTCTGGGCCAGCTCCCAGGCGATTGCTGGCGCACCCGTGGCCTGCCATCGCCGCCGCCCGCCTGCGCCACGCGCTCGGCGCGATGACGGCGGGCGGCAGCAGCGCGGCTGATGCGGCGCCCGAGCCGCCGTATGCTTGCGTGCCCATCACCCCGCACTTCGGGGCCTACGTCTACGGCTTCCGACTGGAGGGCGATGAGCCGCTGCCCCCTGACGTGGTCGAGAAGATCAAGGTCGACATGAGGCAGCATCGGGTGCTGGTGTTCAGGGGCCAGGGGCAGGTGAGCGGAAAGCGGCAGGTTGAGATCTCCAGGCAGTTAGGCACGGTGGAGAGCACGTTCTACAAACATCCGAAGAGCCCCCACCCCGACATCTTTCGCGTGTCCAACGATGAGACCGAGGGTTGCACCAACGTGGGGCGCACTGGCTGGCACATCGACGGCACGTTCCAGTCTATGCCGTTCAAGTACCAGACCATGCATTTCCACTCCGTGTGCGAAGGAGGGGAGATACACACCGCTTCGCGGGGAGCACGGCCAGGCAAACCCTATCTCCCGGGACACGTGGGGCGGCGCTGCTGGAGCTTGCCACCCGCGTCGCGCGGGGGTAATTGTCCTCCGCCATTTCCAGGGGTCCAGTATTTCAGTATCGTTTATCCGACCCCCATCCCCATCCCCTATCCCCTTCGAGACCCTCACCAAATTACCCCCCAGTTGGGTATACACCCCTCGAAACCCGAAGGGAACGACCTATATCCCCATCTAGGGGGGTAAATCGGCTAGTGGGGCCCAGGCCACGCCTCTGGGGATGGTGATCGGTTAAACGCAGGATGGAATATGTTAACCATTATCCTGGGGTTATAACGTTCTGGGCTTATTGACCAGGGTTCATAGTGTCTCCCCCGGAACATTATGAACCTGGTCTTGCATGTTCTGGGAATATTGACTGGGGTTCATAACGTCCCCCCTGGAACATTTAAAACCCTGGTTTATAATGTTCTAGGGGCATCGACCCCAAAAACATATTAACCTTGGTTCACAATGTTCCGGGAAGATTGACTGGGGTGTATAATGTCCCGGGAATTATGGGCACGGTTTTCGCAATTCCAGAATGATAATAATTATTGTTTTCCCCCCAACCCCCGGGTTCCCCACCAGGTTTTTCATGTCGGAATATGGACCCTGGTTCATTATCTCCAGGAGATCATACACCCGGATTCATAAATGTGCCCGGGAGATTGACCCCAGGTTATTCTGGAATGAGAATGGTTGAGCCTGGGGGGCGCCGTTTGAGAGTACGTTCCGGACTGACATACATGTTGGTCCATGATGTTGGAATATTAAACGTAGGTTGACTATTCTGGAAAGATAATGATTCGGCTGGGGAGGGTTGAGCCCGATCCATTCACAGGACAATAATCCATGGGGTATTATCTGAAGATAGGTAAACTAGGTTTTCATTCCTAGATAATCAACCACGGTCGACGAGGATTTCACGACTACCCTCGGTAAACATACTCAGTATTGGCCATGTCCGACACTGGCCCCCCGCTGACCTGCAGATTGAGGTTGCTGGCTTTCCCATCGCCGGGGTGCACTTGACCGAATGTTGCCCTGGTTGGTTGTCTCAGTGGCGTCGCAAAGGGCCTCTGATGCTCCTCCTCGCCCTCTTTCTCCTCGACCTCGCCCTCGCCGTCGGGCTTGCCGCCCCCTCCTCATTACCCATGCCCCTTGTCCTAATTCCCTCATCCTCCTCTTCCTCCTGCGCTTCCCTCCCCTTTTCTTCTGGCATCCTCTGTCTCTTCCCGCTCCTTGGGGCTGGGCCCTCACAGTGCTCTCTGGAGCTGGTTCGGGGCGTTAGTGTGGCCCCGCTGGGATCTTGGGGTGGGCTTGGGGCCGTCTAGGGGCCCTGCTGCCCCGCACGGGCTCAGCTCCCAGCACGGGTTGCCGGACTTGGTTCATCCCGCTCAAAGAGTTTTACGAGATGCAAGACGAGAAGACAAAGGCTCGCTGGGACAAGTTGTGGTTCGTGACCGGGAGGGAACAGTATGCGCACCCCATGGTGTACAAGCACGCCGACCGCGGCGACGCCACCATGATGTTTCACTGCGGCGCGCCCTTCTGTGCGGCCTGGGCGATGGATGACGACCACCCCGACCCAGCGCAGAGGCAGGCGAAGAAGCTCCTTCCGCCGTCCAGTGTCCAGCGTGAGCTCACGTCGCTCTTGGACGAAGCCATTGACAAGATCGGGGTGAAGATGAAGTGGGAGGCAGGCGACTTCGCCATCAACGACAACCTGGGCAACTGCCACTACGCACCGCCTGGCACCCAGAGCGATCGAGAGCGGTGCGGGCTCCGCATCCTACACCGTACGACCAGTTGGCGACCCCATGTTGCTTCGTTTCAGCGATCAGGCCCCGCCTTCACTGAGCACCGGGGAGCCCAGCCTTCACCGATGGACACGCTGCTGTCGGTGTGTCAGCACCCCGAAGCCTGCCGGTTCAGTGTTCCCGGCCTCCCCGGCCCTCATATCGGGGGAGCGTAAGACCCGGGTTTGCCGGGACTCGGGTTCACCATCGTTTTTTGACGACCGCGACTCGGATTTTGACGAGGAGGAGTTTTGTGGGATGTCTGCAGCGGGAGGCCTCGTCAAAATGCAGGCTCGGCCTCGTCATTTTTTTGACGACCTCGTCGGGGATTTCCGAGTCCCCCGTACCCAGGTCTTACGTCTCCCCGATCATAGTGACGTTTGGGAGGCCAGATCGCTGATCTGCAGCATCACATGGGGTCCCACCCGTCGCGGGGGAGGCGGTGCCGACCAAGGAGGACGCCCGGAGAAGGCAAAACTCTTCCCCGCCAGCGTGTCAAGCCAGGGCCACCCTGGGCTCCACCCTTCCCCGGCCTGCCGGCCGTCGTGTTTTTTTTTTTCGCAGCGTGGCCCTCCAGAGATCTGGGCCTCTTCCCGGGGCCGCCGTCTTATCTCAGGAGCGAAAGAAGGACGTACATGTACATGAATCCACGCTGGTTTCGAGAGTACGCATTGCGCAACTGTTCGTATAACGCGGCAGGTCTTGTGGATCGAGGGGCCGTGTTCATGTACATAGCTGGGCGCGTACGTCCTTTGTGGACTCCCTATTATCCTGCGCCGTCTCTTGACGGTCCCTGGGGCCTGGTGCAGGGCCCTCCGGAGGCCGAGAGTTGCAAGGAGTCGCGGGCGATTTCTCGCCTCCAACCCCCGACTGCTCGACGGAAAGTCAGGCATCACAGAGAATGAGGGGAACTCGAGGAGACACCCCCAGTTGGCCGTGGTTTTCTGACGCACCCCTATCGAGAATGGACGCCCCCCATCGTAATACATCCCTGCATCCCCGAGTTCGTTGGGTTCAGAGTTTCTTGTCCGTTCGGAAACCCCACGGGCTCAAGGACGGGGAGCGCCATATCCCCTGTTGAAAAGCCTTCCGTCGCGCTGTTTGTTCCACGGCGCGAGGATCTGTCAGGGAGGGCCCTGGACGTGTTCGCCAGAACTCGGATTCGTCTATGTTTTTTTGCGGACCCGTCGTGGACTGTGACGGTCCAGGGTTCGTGGGATGCTTCCAGCGGGAGCTCGCGGCAAGCCTCAGATTGGGTCTCGTCCACTTCCTGCCGGCCCTCTCAGGCGAACCCGGGTCCCGCCAACCCGAGCCTCACGTCTTTCAGGAGGGGAAAACACACAGACACAATGAAGCGTCGATTTCCCAGAAAATATGGGAAACTATGGGCAGTGGGGGGGAAGGCAGACACCAAGAAAGTACGGGAACATAGGGGGAACCATTTTCGTTGCGTGTATTTATTCGTGTGTCTTTGGGCCTCTTGAGTCTTGCCGAGGGGGGAGCGGCTCCCCCCCGCCCTCGCAGAGGATGGCCGCCAGTCCTTCCTGGTGGAGTGACCGGGCCTGCCGGCCGCCCCGCCGCCCCGCGCGGCCGCGCCGCCGCTCCCCACGGCCGAGGCCGGGCCCGCGGCCGCCGCAGGGCAGGGCGGCGCAGCGCCCGCGGGTGCTCGGCGAGCCGCGTGCCTTCGGATCCCTGGCATCGCTCGGACGTGTGCGTTTTTTTTCCTCGGCGAGGACCATCGAGGAGCATCCTTGATCATTTGGCGAAAATCGGGGCTGGACAGAACCCCCAACAGTGACACGTCTATTAGTGAATTGTCCGTTTTCGGTTCTCGAGAGGGCGCCGTGGCCGTCATTTTCCAGGTTTGCGCCCGCCAGGTTTGGGCCTCAGGTCGTTTTCACTAAACCACGTTGTGCTAAAGGGGGGTCTGTCCATCCCCGAGAAGAAAGCACGCGCGAAACCGACCAAAAACACAGGAAATGGACGTCCGGGCGATGGCCAGGATCTGGGCGGCGAGCCAGGAGAGAAGTCGCGGCGGCCAGCCGTTCGGCGGCGGCGGCGGCGCGACTCCCAGTGTTGTCCACCTCTCCCCTCCAGTGGCTTGCCGTCGCTCGGGCGTCCATCTTTCCCGTGCCTTTTCGGTTTTTCGTGCGCGTTTTTTTTCTTGCTCGAGGGTCCCGCTTAGCTTTGACGGGAAGAGGTGCGCTCTCGACCCGCGGATCAAACGTGTTTTTTTGCTCGACGGTCCAGGTGGCCGCCGCGGGGGCCGCCAGAGGCCGCCAGGCGGCACCGCGGAAGAGCAGGCTGCATTCGCACGTGTTGTTCTCTCTCGGCCGATGGGGGCCCGACGGCCCCACCCGGGCCGGGAGCGTGCGCGAGCGTGCTATCGGGGGCCTTTGCCGCAGCTTTATCGGCGATGCATCGCCGATTCCAGTGGTCCAATTTATTCGGCAACGCGCAGAGGGGGGTAGGGGGAGGGGGGAAGGCTTCTTAGAAGCGCCCCTGCTTCTTAGAAGCCGCGGGCCTTCTCTATAGACGTAAGGCCGAGACCTTCTAAGAAGCAGGGTGCTAAGAAGCCTTCCTCCATCCCCCTACCCCCTTTTGCGCGCCGCCAATTTATGCCGGGTACGCTATGCGGTGCAAGCCAGACGGTGCAGTCTAGCTGCGTGGTGCAATCTGTGTGGTGGAGACTGCGTGGCGCAAGTTCTGTGGCGCAACTTCTGCGGAGCAGGCCACGTGGTGTAAGCTAAGCTGGTGTAGGCTGCGCGGTGCAACATATGTGTGGTGCACGCTGTGCGGTGCAACCTGCACGGCGTGGTGGACGCTATGCGGTGTAGGCTGAGTGGTGCAAGCTATATCGTAGAAACCTCGTCGCGCAGTGTGTACAGCCGCCCAGTCAGTGCACAAGACGCCCACAACGGGGACTACGGGCGGGCACCAGACGAAATTCGGGGAAACGCAAGACCCGAGTAAGCCGGAACTCGGGTTTGCCGACGTTTTTTTGACGAGCGCGTCCTGGATTTTGACGGTCCAGTTTCCGTGGGATGTCTGCAGCGGGAGCCCGCGCCAAATCTCAGATGGGGCCCCGTCACTCTTTACGGCCCCGTCGGGCCAACCCGAGTCCCCCGCACCCGAGTCTTACGTCTTACGTCTCCCCGAGAAATCGCGCCCACGATCGTCCAAGCCGCGCGCCCGAGGTGGCCCTCCCGCGCCATCTGCGCACGCCGCGGCCGCCGACGCCATGGCGACGGCAGGGGGCGCGGCGGGCGACGAGCGGCGCACGTGTCCACCACGGAGCACCCGCCCAGCGCACGTGGCGCCCACCGAGGCGCCCACCGGGGCGTGCGCCAGGCGAGAGCCTCCCGCAGACCCACGGAGCGCCCCCAAGCCCCCTCGCGTGGGCACAGAAATCTCGACGGGAGGTTTATTTCGCTGGTGTCGGGCCGCCCGTGGCCTCGTGCTGGCCCTCGGCGCCCGCCCAGCGCACGTGGCGCCCCCACGAGGGCGCCCACGGGGCGTGCGCCACGGGCGAGAGCCTTCGGCAGACCACGCGCGGGGCGCCCGCGAGGCGGCCACGGGCGGGCACCCGGCGAAGCTCGGGAGGGAGAGAGACGCACAGGCACAACGAATCGTCGATCCCCTAAGCAAATGTGGGAAAATGTGGGCATTGGGCGGGGAGGCAAAGAACCCAGAAGATGTGGGAAAGTAGGGGGCATCCTTTGATTTGTGTTTATCTCTGTGTGTGTGTCCTGGGGCCCCTTCAGGAGCCTCGGCGCACACCCACCCGGCGCACCAGGCCCCCACAAGGCGCCCAGCGCGTCCAGGCAGCAGGCGAAGCCCCAGCGCACCCAATGCAGTGCCCAAGGCAGGCCGAGCAGAGACTCCTCAGCGCAGGCACTGTTCGGCGGAGTGCGCAGTGAACTCGCGCGCGTGAGGAATGCCCATGGGGGGCGGCGGCAGCACTGGAAAGCATCGTTGGGAGAAAGGGGAGCGGCATTCGCAGTGCAGGTCTGGCAGGAGGGGGGCCCGAATAAGAAGTTGCACTAACTGACTCAAGACGTGGACGATATGTTGCTGGAATGCGCGGCCCACCACTCAGCTATGATGGGATGTGGCCTCGGATGCTAAGCGCTTTCCGCGCTGCAAGATACGAGCCGAAATTGCAATGGAACGGCCTGATGCCGAACACAAAATACAGCAGTACACAACAAGATACAGCAATATACAACAAAATACAACAATCAACATCAATATGCAAGAACATGCAAGAACATGCAATCATACACAACGCAATACAACAAGACACAACGACACCCATCAATATACAACAATCCACAGTATACAGCACGGCACAGCCACCTACAACAATATACCTCAAGACACAGCAATATACAAATCTATATAGCAATATACCACAATATACAACAATAGGCAACAATGCACAGCAATGTACAACATTTGACAAAACGTTACAACAGTATACCACAACATACAACACTATACAACATCATACAACACTATGCAACAGTATGCAACACTAAAAACAACATACATCAACATACAACATTACGCAACATCATACACTATGATACAACGATATACAACACTATACAACAGCACACCAACAAACACTATACAACAATGTGCAACCGTATACAACAATGTACAACAAAACACAACACGGCACAGCAATCTACAACAATACGCAACAAGCTAAAACACCATGCAACACTATACAACCATATGCAATAATACACAAACATGCACAACAGCACACACTATTGTACAACAGGGTGCAGGACACTACAAGATTGTACAGCACGCTACAACAACGCACAACATTATACAACGATGTACAACCATATACAACACTCCGCATCAATACACAAAACTAGGCAACACCATACAACGATACACAACCACATACATCATTTTCCAACAATGCAATATACAACACGATACCGCAAGGTACACTCATACTCAACAATATACAACACTATACAGTAATATACACTACGATTCAACAGTGTACAACAACACGCTACACGATACAACGCTACACAACAGTATACAACAATAGACACTAACATACAACAATCAACATCTATATACATCAGTAACCAACACGATACAACAATATACAACACCATACACATGTGCGACAATATATTGCAATACGCAACACCATACAGCAATTTACAACACGATACACAAATTTACAACAACATGCCACAATCAACAGCACGATGTTTGAAATGACAAAATGTACAAACACGTACAGCAACATACAGCACTGTATACCAATATACAACAACTTACAGCGACGCACACCACTACACAACAACATGCAACACTATACACCACGACAAAACAATATACAACACATCGCAACAGCATACAATCCTCACAACATGGCACAATAAGGCATAACACGCTTCACGAATCTACAACACGCTACAAGGAGCTACTCCCAGCTACATAATGCTACAACAAGCTGCACCAAGGCACGACCAGGCACACCAAACTACAACACCATGCAGCACGATGCAACCATATACTCCACGATACCGCAATCTACAAGAATATGCAAACCATACCACACTATGCAGCAATATAAAACAACATGAAACAACCCACACCAATATACAACAATATGCAACTTTATCCACACATAGTCACTGACAAACAAAAAAAAACGTATGCAGCAGCCTACAACAATACACGCTAACGCACACCATTTTACACCACTATGCATTTACACAACACCATACACAAACACACAACACTATGCAACAGTACGCAAGACATGCCACTCTGTACAGCAGTATACAACACTACTTGACAATACGCAACAGTATACAGCAGTATGCGACACGGTACAGCACGACACCAACATACACCAGTGCATAATATTATACAACAGTATGCCACACGATGCAGAATGATACAACACTAGACCAGATATAAACAGCGATATAGACGTATACACAACAAGACACAATTGTATACATGAAGACCAACCGGCACACAACAATACACATTTGGACACACACCAATATACGCCAACATGCAGCACGCCACACCAGGATACACCAATATACAACCAGTTACAGCACAATGCCATACTATACAACAGTATACAACACTATACAACACTATACAATGGGACGCAACAGTATACACACATATATTTAACACCATACACAACAATACAACACGATACAACCATATACAACAAAACATGTCAAGCTACAACAACATACAACAATCCACAGCAATATACAACCACACGCGATAATATGCAACTTACAGCAATACACAACCATCTACATAAAATCACAACCACATACAACATCATACAACAATATACAAACACATACAGTCGTACACAAGCATACACAACAAGACATACCAAGATACAACAGTTCACTACAGTATACAACAACGTTATACCATACACGAAAATGTACAACAGCATGCAGCATCATTGTAATACAACAACATACACCGATGTACACCAGTAGACAACAAGCTACACCGACATAGTACCATGCGCAACAAGACATAACACGATTCCACGATATGCAGCACGCTACAACAATAGACACCAATCTGCAACACCATACAACACTACACTACAATATACAACGCGGTACACCACACCAGCAACATACATTAAGCTACAACCGCATAAAACAGTATGCACCAACTTGTGAGAGTATTTAACAGTACAACACCATATAAAACACTATACAACAAGACGCACCAACACAACAATACACAATAGCACACACACACACCAAGCCGCAACACAACACAACACGCCGCAACACGGCACAACAAAACATAACGGGGCATAACACGACACAACAATACACAGCAAGACGCAACCAGAGACAACAAGACACAACAAGACACAGCAGGACACAACACGATGCACCAATATAAAAACAACATGCAACACTATACAGCACGATACAACAAGATACCATGCTGTACAACAGTATACACCACTATACTACAAGACGAAACAACACACAACAATATACATCAAGCCAGACCTTGCCGCAACATAACAAAACAAAATACAACAATCTGCAACAATATACAACAATGTACAAAACATATAACAATCTACAGCAACAGACAACACGATACAACACTATACAACCATATACAGCCATATTCAAACATACAACAACATGCAGCAACTCACAGCAATCAATTGCACGAGCCGGCATGAGACAACACGTGACACCATGAGACACAACGATTTACAACAATACATTGTTATCTTTAACCATATGCAGCATATTCAACAAGCCACAACCATATTCAACAATCTACATCACGACGCACCAATACACAACAGAATACAACGACATACAACAATATTACCATACTTCAACAACAATAGACAGCCACAAACACACCAGCAGAACACAACAGCACGATGCAACGACACGATACAGCAACCCGATACAACAACAGTGCACACAAGCAATCTACAGCAATATAAAACCTCAATATGCAACAACAAGATGTAACAACAAGGGGCAACGACAATATACAACAACAAATTACGGGACCACGATGCAGCAACACTATACAACAATAAGACACAGCAAACATATACACCAACGGGGCACAACAACAATAGGCAGCCAACATATACAACAACACGGTACACCAACAAGATGCAACAAGAAGGTACAACAACACATTACAACGTTCCGATACAACACGATAGAACAACACGATGCGATAACATTATACAACAACAAGATACACCCGCACTGTACAACAACAATATACACCAACATACGGCATACATGTATATAGACAAGATACAACATCAATATACACCATCACGAAACAACAACACGGTACAACAACACTTTACACATCATGACACAACGACGCTACATAACAAAACTATACAACACCAGCATACATCAACAGTATACAACAATATCACATACTTGCATCCTACAACAGCAAGATGCAACAATAATGTACAACAACAAGGTACAGCACCAGCATACAGATATAGTATGAAGCAGCAAAGTACAACGACAAGGTACAACACCACGATACATCAACGAGACACCACACCAACATACAACACCAGTACACAGTAATAGTACACAACGACAAGGTACACCAACAACATACAAAAGCAATACACACATATAATATACAGCATTAATATGCAACCCCACGATGCAATGACAAGATGAACCAATGGACAACGAGAGTGTCCACTAACGCGATACAACAACAATATACAACGACCAGGTACACAAACACGATACAACAACACGATACAACAACAATATACAACAATAATATATAACAGCGAGACACAACAACACGATACAACAACAAGGCACACCAACACGATACAACAACATGGTGCGCCATCAAGATACAGCAACACTTTACACAAGCAAGTAACAACACCAGCGTACACCACCACGATACACTAACAAGTTACATCAAGATGCAACAAACAGGTTCACTGACAGGATACAACAGCAAGCTACAAATACACTGTGCAATAGCAAGATACAACAACACAGTACAGTACCACTATACAACAGTATTATACAGCAGCGACAGGCAACACGATACACCACACATATACAACAACAAGATACAACAGCAAGGCGCAACACCATTTTTCAGCAACACGAGAACAATCATAGACACCAACAAGATAGAACATGCAGGTCCAGAAACAATATGCAACACCAAGACCCAACAACGAGATACACCAACACGGTACAACAACAATGTACATTACCACGATGCGACAGCAACGTACAGCAATAATGTATTCCAACAGTATACAGCAACAGGATGCAACAGTATGAAAACCTGACAAGGTACAACATGAAGACACATCATCATGATGCAACAGTAATATACAACGGCAAGGTATATTGACACGATAGGGCGACAACATACAACAATAGGGTACAACAGCGCACAAGCATACACAACGATACATATTACTATACAACTAGATACAACCATACACAACAATGTACAACGCGGCGCATCAATATTCAACACGATACCACAAGACATAACAATGTAATTCAATACGCAGCAATTTACAATAATACAACATCACACAACAATGAACAGCACTGGGATACAACAACATGGCACAACAACAAGATACAGCAACACGGTACAACATGACGACACAGCAATCTACAACCACAATATACATGATCAAGATGCAGCATCAAGATACAGCCACAAGATGCAACATTACTGAACAACAGCAGGCAACCGCAATCTACACTTGTATGAAGCAATCTTACACAAGAATATACAACCAAATGCCACAAGGCACAGTGATATTCAACCACATACAACAATCTGCAACAAGGTACAACATTTTACACCAACATACAACAATATACAGCAATGTCCAACAACATGCAACAATACACCACAGTATACGACAAACTACAACACAAAACAACCACATACAACAATAAGCAACACAACGCAACAGCCTACATCAATACCCAGTAGTCTGCATTAAACTTATACATCAATATACAATATACAACAAGGCGCAACAATATACAATAATATCAACAACATACAACACTATACAGCAACATACAACATGATACAGCAATATACAAGCATAAACAGCACTACACAACCATACACAAAACGATTCAACAAGACAACAATTACGACACTTTCCAGTACTATACCATATGAATTAACAACACACAGCAATATGCAACACAATACAACCATGCACAATAGACATGTACAACAGTATACAGCATTATACAATAATATACAACAGGACACAGCAACATACAACAACATGAACAATATACAGCAAGAGAACAACATATACAAGCCCTCCCCTCGTGGCCTTTGCTGTTCGTGCGCGCAGGGGGGCCCGCGGTCAGGGCCCATGCCGGCGACCGGCCGCCCGGGTCCCCTGCTGCCGCCACTGTTGCTGGCTTACGTCCTGCAGCCCGCCGCCGGGAAGGACTACTCGAAGACTTACAGCTTCCTCTAGCAGACCAAAAAATTGCACCGGCTCGGGTGGGGAGGGGACGCTCGATGACACGTCGCCGGTGGGAGTCCGTTTTCGTGTCGTTCCTGAGTTTTTGTCCGAAGATCCGGCGTTTCTTCGGCAGCAACATGCTGATGGGCCACCCACGGCGGCGTGTCGTTGATACCGTTTTTCCCGCCCCCCCGTCAGCACAATTTGTCGGAGGTTTGCGCGGATGTCTTTCAGCGGCGATGGACGCTTTTTCTTGGCGCGCGGAGCGCGCCATGGGCGGCGTCGCCGGTGCCGCAGGCGGGGTCCAGCGCAGGCCTGGCAGATCGTGCTTGTAAAGTTGTTTGGTCTTCTATCCTCGCCGATCGGTCGGAATGCGACGGCGAGTGCACCTGGTGCCGACACGCGCACAACCAGTTCCGCTGGTCCGACATCAAGAGGAAGCTCGGCCGCTACGTGTACCGAGCCGCCCCAGAGGAGGAGGGCACTTTGGCTGGGGAGCTGGAGGCTGTTGAGCACGCGCACGTGCAGCAGCTAATTGACTGGTCCTGGCAGAAGGGCGTCAACTACGAGTGCATCGTGGGTATCATCGCCCTGCGCCTGCTCTCGTACGGGTACTCCGACCCGTTCCAGTTCAACGAGGAGGAGGACTGGGATGTGTTAGACTTCCTGGACACGTTCAATGCCCACACTGGGTCCCTCTTCCTGCTCACCTGCCTCCTCTTCCCCCATCCCTTTCCTCCACGGTCGTTGTCTCTCACCTTCCTCCCTCTCCTTGGTTTCCTTTCTCTGCACGTCTTACAGTGCAACCCCTGGGAGGTTGATTTCAGAATCGGCGCTAGTATGTCCCTGGCCGAAAACTTTGGCAATCTGTTTTAATCTCGCTCAATCTGGCTAAATCCCGCTGAATCCAGCTTGATCTGGCGTGATCCTGGGCTTCATCCCGCCTAATCAGGCTCAATGGTAACCCAATCGGGTTGTAGCCAGTAATCGTTCTGACGAAGACCTCCCAGGAGTTGCCTTCTAAGCGCCCAAAAAACTATCCCACTCGGTCGTTGGATCTGCTTATCTCCTCGTGGGCGGCACTGCTGGCCAGCGGCTGGCCCGTCTTCCAGCAGCTGTTGCTCGTCGGCCGTAAGCTGCGCGACAGGCTGGCCGATCCGGGCAGCTACCCGAGGTTGCAGGAGCGCGGCAATTTGTGCGACATCTTGGATTCCAACGAGGCCCGAAGGGGGAAATACGGCATCAACCTCAGAGGCGGAAAAGGCACCGATACGACTACCTTCGCCCTGATTTTAGCTTCGTGGCCTTCCCGCGAGGCTCTCGTCGCCACGGCTGGATCCACTCCGAAATTCTGGTCAAAACGAACCCCGGGAGAGCTCTGGGGAGTAGCGGCCCCTCGGCCCAAAGTGTGCTCCCTGGGTAATCCGCCTCGCGTCTTCGACGAATGACGATTGCATACCGCGGCCGCTGAGGCCTCAAGGGCCCTGGTGCTCCCTGGGGATCCCGCCTCTTCGAAGCGGCACACTGGCGTTTCTGCAGCTTTCTCTTCGAAGGACCGCGAGTACCGAGACGCGGTCTTGCGCGGCCTCGAGACCGGGAAGCAGGTGCCGGCCAGGACCCACTTGCGCGCGCTGAGCCGGGGGCTGGGGTGCGCCGCGGGCGCGGCAGTGGCCTTGCTGTCGCTCGCCCTGGACTTGGTCCGGGACAGGGGCCTGTACCAGGGCTCACAGAAGGATGGGGACAACTTGGTGTTCTCGTACGTGTTCAGCGCGCAGGCTGCTTCGGTAGCGACTCGTGAGAGCTTTGCATGTTCTCGGAATTCTGTCGTTAGAGTGCACTCGCGCGCGCTAGCGCCTTGTAATTAATGGGGAAGCGCCGATGTAGCGTCGATCAGCGTCCACTTAGCGTCGATTAGCGTCGACTCGCGCGGATTAGCGTCGATCAGCGCCGATTCGAAAGAGCAGCATGATGATATGGGAGAGTTGCCAGAGAAGGCTGCGGTCACCGCCTGGACGTCCTCGAAGCCCAACTGGTCGCCCTTCTTCGACCTGCTGACCACGGAGTGGCCTATCTGGGAGCTCCTCAGCCACTTGGCCTGCGTCGACAGCAGCCGGCCCTGCGCCACGCGCTCGGAGGTGCGCTGCTTCGCCTCCGCCTCACGTCAGAGGGCGGCCTGCCCGCACGACCCGCCCGTGCTCCAGCGCAACTTCGCAGCCTGTGGTGAGCACGACATCTGCACTTGGCCAGAGGCGCTGGGCGAGGCAGCGCAGTGGTGCGTGCCGTTCTCGCAGCGGCCGCCCTCGCCGAGGGAGCCGTTCCTCCTGCGCCTCGGCCACGACGACGAGGAGCGCGTCTGCTCCCAGTGCGGCCAGGACGGCGTGATCCGCGCCCTCTTCGCACGCGTGGGCTTCCGCGAGGGCGTCGGCGAGGGCGGCCCCGCGCCCTTCTACGTCGAGTTTGGCGCCCGGAAGCCGGGGATGCTCAACAGCGCGGCCCTGCGGCAGTTCTGCGGTTGGGAGGGCCTGCTCATGGACTCGCAGCCAGGAGAGACGCCGCACGGCGCTTGCCCGGGCTGCCCAGGAGTGGCCGAGCTTGTGCGCGTCGAGTTCGTGACTGCCGAGAACGTGGTGTCCCTCTTCCACAAGCACGGGGTACCGAGAGACTTCGACTTGTTGACGATCGACGTGGACTACAACGACTAGCCGCTCACGCTGCCGCGCGCACGTCGCCGCCGCGCTGGGGGTTGCGATTGGGAGCTTGTCTGGTGTGTGTGTGTGTTCTGTGTGTGCGTGCGTGCGTGCGTGTGCGTGTGCGTGTGCGTGTGCGTGTGCGTGTGCGTGTGCGTGTGCGTGTGCGTGTGTATTTATGTGTGTATGTGGTGTGTGTGCGTCGTGTGTGTGGTGGGGGGGGTGGGGGGTGGGAGGGTGGGGGGGGAAATTTCTGTGTGGCTGTGTGTGGCCGGGATGGATGTCGGCCCCTTGTGCCCCCTCCTGTGCTTCTCGCTTGGTGTTGTCACACGCGGGGCGCAAGGTGCGCCGCAGGCACGGCGGTGGACTGGATATGGCGCGCCCTGCTGAGAGAGGGCTCTTTCCGCCCGCGGGTAGTCGCAGTGGACTTCAATCCTGACGTCCCCCTCGACCAGGCCCTGGCAGTGAGGTACGACGCCGCGGCCGAGTGGGATGGAAGCCGATACACGGTTGCTTCCCTGCTCGCATACGCTTTGATGGCCAACGCGCACGGCTACTCGTTCGCCTACGCGCTCGAGATGGGGGCCCACGCGTTCTTCGTGCGGGACGACCTGCTGGCCGAGGGGGACCGCAGGCTGCCTCTGCGAGCCGTCCAGAAGCAGTCCCACCCGCCGGACGCACTGGACAGAAAGTTCCCAGACATCAGACGATGTTATTTTTTTCTCGCCCGCGGGGTCCCAGGGGAGGACCGCAGGCTGCCTCTGCGAGCCGTCCAGAAGCAGTCCCACCCGCCGGACGCACTGGACAGAAAGTTCCCAGACATCAGACGATGTTATTTTTTTTTCGCCCGCGGGGTCCCAGGGGAGGTCCCGACCCCTTCCCTGGGGGCAGTTCTTCGATCCGGATCCATTTCTGATGCCCCCGTGCCAGAAAGCGGCCCCTGCGTGGCCGAACGGGTGATTCAACGCTTGGATTTGTTCTCTCCGCAGAGAAACCCCGCCGAAATATGAAATATGTCATCCCGCAGCGCCTGGATATGTTCAACCCCAATTGGTTGGGCAATCAGCAACCAAAGCGTCCGCTGGCCCCATGAGTTGTGCCCAGCATCCCGCGGGAAGCCAAATCGGATTGCGCCAGACACCCCGCTGGTTACACCGAATCTTCTGTTGCTTAAGCGGGTCAGCTATAGGCTGTGCCATAAGTTGCGCCAGATATCACTTAGGCCACCGAAATTTGTCCACCAGCCCAGTAGGTCCTGCACCATATGTTGCAACTGGCACCCCGCAGGTAACCAAATCAAATTGTCCGTCAACCCAGTGGGTCTGCTATGGATAACGCCATAGGTTGCGCCAGACACCCAGCAGGCAAGCAACCCGTCCGTTGTCCCAGTAGGTCTGCCATAGATCACGCCGGTGGACAAACAGAGCATCCGCTGCCCCAGTGGGTACGCGGTGAGTTGCGCCACGCACCCCGCGGGCAACCAAATCGTGCGTTGCCCATGGAGGCCCGCCATAGGCTGCGCCATGGTCTGAAACAGACACTCCGGGGGCAGCCATACCGTCCGTTGTTCCAACGCGTTCACTTCTCAAGATGATGGGGACGCTGCCGGGAGAGCGTTGGCCCGTCCGAGCCAGGCCTCCCATGCAGTTCTTCCTCACGACGTGAGCCCCTGGAGATCTCTCGGCCCCTGCCCTAGGCCAGATGTTTCCTCCCGACTCGGTGTTTCCCCAGACAGCTTGCTGAACGGGGTGCTCTTGTGATCGGGCCAGTTCTGGTCGTCGAGGGACGGGCGCGCAGAGACATCCTCCAGAGGATTCAGTGGTCCAGGCCGTTTCGCCTGGGATATCCTCACAACTGGCTTTTGAGTTGGCCAGGATTTTTCGTTTCGCCTGAGACATGTTCACAATTCTGGGCTCCGAGATGCCGCGCGAGAGGTGGTCAAGCCCGTTTCGCCTGAGACATCCTCGCACATGTGGGCTCCCGGAGGAAGGAGTGAGGAGGGAGGAGGGGTCAGACCCAAACGAATCATTCGATTCCATTTTTTTTGGCGAAGTGTGCTTTGGGAGGAGTCTGGGCGCCGCCTGAGACTTCTCGCAACTCTGAGTTTCCAGATGTCGCGCGCGAGGTGGTCCAGCCCGTTACGCTTGATACATCCTCTCAATGCGGGGTCCGTGGGATACCGCGCGCAAGGTGGTCCAGCTCGTTTTACCTAAGACATCCTCGCAGCTGCAGGCTCCTTGAAGATGCGCGCGAACGCGAGTTGGTCCAGCTCGTTTCGCCTGAGACATCCTCACAATTCCGGGCTGAGAAAACTCATGCGCGAGGTGCCTGGCCCGTTTCTTTTGAGGCATCTTCGCATGCCGGGTTTCAGAGATGCCGCGCGCGAGGTGGTCTGGCCCGTGTCGCTGGAGACGTCCCGAAAACTCCTGGGCTCTGAGGGGAAGGAGGGAGGAACGAGACGGGATCACACCCGCACCCATACGAACACTTTGCTTCCACTTCTGTTGTCGGATGGTGCTCTGGGAAGGGCGTGCGCGCCCCTGGCCCGACGGAGGACGTAGCCGTCGCTGAGGCGCCAGCACGCTGCCTCTGTAATTTGCCTTGGCATCGCTCGGACGTGTGCAGTTTCCTTCGACGAGGACCATCGAGGAGCATCCTTGATCATTTGGCGAAAAAGCCACGCACGAAACCGAACAAAACACAGGGAATGGACGTCCGAGCGATGGCCAGTTGCAAGGTCTTCTCAAGGGCGAGCCATGCTGGAGCAAATCGTGGAGGTGCCTCGGGCAAGGGCGCGGCAAGCAGGGGCGAGGCCCAGCGGCATCGAAAGTGCGAAGGCCTCCCTGGCATGGCGCCAGAGGACGGGGAGGACGAGGGGGTGGGGAAGAGGATGCGGAGGAATGCGAGGTGGAGTTGGGGGAGGAGGAACAACCAGTGCGAGGACGAGGAGGGGGACGAACAACAAAAACATTGCGGAGCGGAGGAGGACAAGTAGCATGAGAGAGAAGGAGCACGACGGAGGATCACGGCGAGCAGGATGACGAGCATGAGGGGGAAACAGGAAAAGGATGCGCGCGATGAGGAGGAAGAGGAGTCAATGGGGCGAGGAGGAGGAAGAAACGACGATGAAAAACAACGCCAGGAGGACGAGGACTATTCATATTAGGAGGGGGTCGAAGACGAGTGATATGAGGCGTGGAGAGAGTCAACTTGGAGCGAAATATTACCATGATCCGATGCCCGTCACAGCTCTAGGAGCATGAATGGAGCACGCGTGGATGAACAATGTAATAGTAATGGGGCGACAAAGGGCCAATAGTGGGACAAGGATGGAGCAGGAATGGGATATCACGGAACAACCGCTGGCCAACCGTGAATCAATAATGGGGCCATCATGGAGCAGGGATGGAGCAACGTTGAAGCAATATTTGGGCGCCCATGGCTCAGCTACGGAGCAATATTTGGGCAAGTGTGGTGTGCATGTAGAAGCAATGATAGAACATTGAAATCCCAACGATGGAATTGTGAGAACCAGAAAAGAATCGATCAGGAAGAAATGCCCATCGTGCTAACACTTCGAGTTATCTGTGGTCGCTGCGATTTGAACACCGCACGCAAGAATGCATCACTGATGCAGCACATGCGTTGTTCCTGGAAGTGCTGGCGCGCCCGTGCTCCCAAATAGCCAGCGGCACCAAAGTTCTCTCAATGCGCCCATTCGCGTTGCCGCTGTTCATGGCCGTGCTGAGCTTTGCCGCCAATGGATCAATGTGAAGATTTGCCCCGCCGCAGCCCTCCGCGGGAGTTCTTGCACCTCCACCTTGACTTGACATGCGCGCGCACGGCCAAAACGTGTCAGACGAACCCGCCGATTTGACGAGACGGCTGCATCGCCCTAAACCACACGTGGATCTGACACGTCCATACATTGGTTTCTATACGTTGACCGAGCCTTTTTGATTTTGAGTGAATGCGTGATACTTCCCAAGAGTTGTGTGACAGTTGATGCGCGCATATTCGCGTCTGGCATTTACTCAGCCGGGCGCAAACTAACACGCGGTTTCCAATCGGCACTATATTTGTATAGGATCGAATCTGCATAGCCAGCCCAGCACTGCGCATGGGACTGCATTGGCGTTCGAGTACGACCACGACCCAAAACTCACACGTTGAAAGCACAGCATAGGCATTCAGGTGCCAGGGCGGCGGAATACTGGGGCCAGTCCGAGGCGAGGAAGGAGCAAGAGCGGTGCGCGAATGAATCAATCATGGAGCGCTTGCGAAGCAGAAGCGGAGCAAGTCGTGCACGAATCCAGCAAGGATGCAGAATTGACGTAAGAGTGGAGCGATAATGACGCAATCGAGGAGCTTTGATGGGGGAAGGATGGAATGGCCTGGCGCAAGGGCCAGTGCGATGAATGGAGCTTGAGCGAAATTCAATTGGGCTGAGCATGCCCGCGAGGCCTTCGCTCGGTCTCAAAGCGATTGGGAGTTCAACCCAGCCCAGGTTCGGCAATGCCTAGAGCGAAACGAAGTTGGAGCAACACCCTCATGTGAAACAGCGAGGCATGCGCCTGTCATTACGGATTGGCGCGTAAAAAATACCCCGCACTTGATGCACCATCCCCGAGGCCAGAACCGAATGACCTTGCGCCGGGATCATGGGGCATCCGCTTGGCTCTTCCCGGCTTCGCTTTAACCGGTGTTTCATCTTGTATTCCCGTTTGTTCTTCGTATTCTTGCTCCACTTCAGGGGCTCCCTTGTCCTCGCCCCCCCCATCGGGCGCGCTGCGCAATGTTGTCTGATGCGGCTGGGGTTGGGGGGTGGGGCATTGCCCGGCGCCTCTGATTCAGCGGGGGCAATGTGCTAGGATTCGCATTGTTTGCCATTGGGGGCAGGATGGCGCCCGTTGGTCAGCGCGCTCACATCGCGAAGACAGGCAATGCATCCTTCCCTGTGGAATATGCGTTCCTTCGACAAAGGTTGGACGGTTGTCAGATCGCCCCCCTGCTTTCCCAGGCCGCGTCACTGCCGACAGCGCCCCATCCAGCGTCGATGAGAGTCAAGTAGAGCAACGAGTGGAAACTCCCAGACCTTCGCTGACTCCATTTGAAGGTCCCTCGTTCGTTGTTCACGCGTAAAACGGATCGCGCGCACGGGCGCGCGGCCATGGCCACCCGGGCACCAGGGCGCGCGCGCGCGATCGCGAATGCGAAATGGCACGCCCATGCGCGCATCACGTCGAACGCATATGTCTGAACACGCGAAGTCATTTGCGACGCGATACGCGCTGAGATTTGGAACGCGGGCGCAGGGCGCCGCCTGGCACCATGAACAAGCGCGCATTGCGCGGCAAGAACGCAGCCAAGCACTCGCGACTCGCGCGCCGCCCATGGAGTCTATTCGCGCCTCCACACAACCGCTGGATGTTCTCGTTCAACTAGGAGGGCCCTAGGGTTATCCTGTGGAGAAATGATCGGCGCGATCACCCTCAATGCATCACCAAGCGCTGCGCGTCTGGCAACCTGGGTCGCATCCGTCAATCAACGCGCAGTTGATTCTCAATCGTCGGCGCGGCGCCGCGGTTTTCCTGGAAGCTCCGGCGCCCGCGACGTCGAACGTGTCGGCGCGCGTTGGGCGCCGCCGGCTTACGTGTGAAAGAACCAGCGCTGCCCTCTGCAACGCCGCAAACCATGACTTTTTCTTCCGCCTGTGCGGACGTTGAAACTGCGCGCCCACCTTTTGAGTGGAACCTTGCGCGCTTTAGGATCCATCCGAGAACTTCGGAAAGGTTGAAGAGCTGTCTCGCCGGCGAGATAACTTGTGCGCGGGCGTCGACGCCCGACATTCGCCCTGGCGCATGCGCTGTGATGTAGATTCGATCTGTCCGCGGAACTGATTTCCAAAGCGCGAATCGCTCTGGGCAGTCAGCGCTGGCAGCATAGCGTCGTCTCAACAGTCCAAAAGTATCGCCAAATTCTATCAGGGCCCCAATGCTCCT